CTCTGCTGGCCAGGGTGGCCGCACTCGCCCCCTCTTCAGAGCCCCGAGGCTTTTGCTGCTGGTTTGTCCCTGGTTTACGCCAAGGTCACCAGCGAAACGTAAAAGGGCCTCAGGAGCTGACCTTCCTCCTGGCCCAGCGGTTCTCCTTTCATCGTGGTCGTTGTCATGTCTCATGTTAAAATGGGGAAGGGTGACCCGAAACTGCGTGGTTTTCTGTGCTGGACATCACGGCTGCCCCGCCGTCACGCAGCGTGGGGTTTTCCGATACCCGCCATAGGGGCAGCGCAGCATGTGTGTCGGTACAGGAGGCGTTAATGCCAAAGAGCTGGAGTCCTGGAAACCCAGTGATTATATGGGTTTTTCAATACAGGGAAACTTAGCAGGGACATCTTGGCGTCTGTTTCTAATCCATAAAGATTAGGTGAAGCGTTGAATGTCGGCGTGTTGCTGCTGGCTTTCCCTTCCTCTTTGCCTTGCCTGCATGCTTGGGACTTTTTGCTTGAGGGGCTTGATTTGAGAAATGGCAGCCGTACATTGCAAAGCCTGAGATCTGCGACTTTTACGTGAATTCATCTCTGCAATTAAGGTACAGAGTGTGCTTGCTTTGAGCTCTGGAAAATTGGAAATTTTACTTCTTTATCTCAGATGCCACGCTGTGTACTTAGAGCAGCTGATAATAACAGTTGCAGTTTCGGTGGTAAAGCCTAAATACTGAATAAGACTATTTCCTTCTGTTTTTTTCTCTTCTAGAAGCAGTGCTAAGTTGATAACACCGTTGGGATGCTTGGCCTCTAGGCAAAAGCACACTCTTCCTGACTTGCCATATGACTATGGCGCTCTGGAACCTCATATTAATGCAGAGATCATGCAGCTGCACCACAGCAAACATCACGCTACCTACGTGAACAACCTGAACGTTGCGGAGGAGAAATACAAAGAGGCACTTGCAAAAGGTTTGTATATCCACAGTCAGGAGGTGAGATGGAAGCTAGTTGACATAAAGAAAGAAAAAAAAAACGGATAGTCCTTCTTTCTAGGAGAAATAGTTTTTTTTAAAAGTTTTAGATTTTATAATTCAAACTTTTTTTGTTTTAATAAAGTGAAATACTATTAGGAGCAAGCTTTCATTGTAAGCTTCAGTGGTGCTGATAATTGAAAACTAGGTGTAACTTAAAAAGCATGAATTCTGTTCTCTGTAGTACTGTAAAACTTCAAGAAAATTCATTGATTGTTGTGGATTTAGTCTATATTTACTTTAGTAACTTGAACCAAGGATTGAGTCAATGGGAAATTGCAGTCATCTTACTAAACAAATACTTTGTAATGAAAGGTTAGTAACAAACCTACATAAAGTAAAATTTGTGAACCTTGTTGGTTTTCACATCAGATGCTCTGCTGATTCTTGTAAAATAATCTTAGTCACTTACAAATGGATGCAAGGCAAATGCGCAGTTAATGTATACAACACCTAATGAAGAGATCTGAATTTGGGTGTCAGTTATGCCCATGGATCAGATTAAGGGGTCATGTAGGTCTGTTGTATTCTGGAGATTTAATTAGTGCAAACATAATTCAGGAGGGAAGAAACTGGACTATAAGAGAACAGTAAATCTGCTGCTGCTGTTACTAATGCTGTTTAATGACCAAGGCTTCAGCCACTAGTGGAGGCAGAATTTCTGGTTAGCAGAAACATCTGTAGTGTTGTGGATCCTTTGAAGTATTTTTAAAAAATACTATCCTTTGATAGCATCTCATCGCTTGCTGTTGGAAATGGTCTGTCTAAAGGTAGAGGTTAATCTTTCCTTAAGGATTTTGCAGGTATTAGTTTGCAAATGGATAATGTATTGGTGGTGGTCAAGCACACTAAAGCAGACAAATACTTACTTGACATATTTCTGAGTGTGTGGTTTGGTTTGTTTGGTTTTTCCCCTAATTGGTATCCCAGTATACTGTGTGTAGTATTTTGACTCTCATTAGAAAAACTTCTAAGACCAGGCTTTAGGAAAGGTCAGAGTCTGAACTGCCACCTAATTCTCTCAGTGTTGTTCTTTTTCCATACTTAAAAACTGAGCGTGATCAAAAAAATCTCCCTGCGGTATATTTCAGTGTTGGGTTACATAGCACATCTGATCGCTAATATCTCTTCTGGGTAACAGAACCTTGTCAATGGCTTTTGTTCAGCAATAGAAAGTAAAGTATTCTCTTCAGGTTAACATGTTCTTCATCTATCTTACATCTGCTTAGAAAACTCAAAAGCTGTCCTGAGTTGAGTCCCATTGGCTTATGTTGTCAGACCGTTTGCTCTCTGAGAAGCTGAGCTGACTGGTCTCATGAGCACCTGTAAGCTGCCTGTCTTGGTTTACTGAATTGTCCTCTGTGGCTGTGTTGAGGAGTGTGGTAAGCTGGAGAAAAGGCCAGGGACTTGATATACAAATACATTCCAAGGCACTTTTGCGGTAACTTAAGGGCAAGTTACTTTTTTTTTCCATTGTCTTTTCCAGTACAAAGTGCAGCAGGACTGATCTGACAGCACCACAAATACCGTGTTTTAAGGACAATAGTCAAATGCCATCTCTGGTTCCTAGTGATCCTGAGGAATAGTTTCCTCTAAGGAATGGTGGAATAAAGAGTCATGAAGACATTAAGGACATTCTGAGTTATTTGGATTTCTGGCCTGTGATATGCTGTATGCTCTGGATGAACTTAAAAATGTTGTTAAGGCATGCAAAATTCAAGGAAAATGTCCCAAAGATGCTATTTGAGTGGGTAAGGGAGATGTCTCATCCTTAACTTGGTACCTGAATTCAGCAAATAGTGGTTTTACTAACTGCATTGGGTGCTTTGTTCCAGTCCTGTACCCATCTGTGGTTCCTGAAGGATATGAGGAGATGCTGAGAACATGGAATCCTCTATTAAAACCTTAGTAACAGATGTGCTACTGCTTTGTGGCTTGCCTTCATGTCTGTGTTAAGATGTCTTTATTGCTATGGGAAGATTTCTACCACTCATTCCTGAGAGAGTGTGCAGGAAACAACTGTGCCCACTGATTTCTTATTAGAGAACGTATTGGAGTGGTGGAGAAAGCTTCAAAAACCTTTGAAATGTTTCAGTTCTTTTAAAAGCCAAAATAGCATTCAAAACACTTGTGTTGAAGTGATACAACGCTATTTAGAGGCGCAAGGCACCAGTGAATTCTTTAAGGAATATGACATTTTTGTGGAGAGGGAGGAAGTACAGGGGTGTCTGATCTTGGTTTCAGATGCAGGGTTCTGTCTTGTGGAATAAAATGATCTGGCACTACTATCTCTTCCTGCAAGTACCTCCCTCCAAAACAAAACAAACAAACAAAAAAAACCCAAAAAGTAGGAGGGAGAAGAACATTTTGTTCACATACGTGCTCGCTGTACTCATCAACTTTCTTAAGAAGTTTAAAAATTCTTATTTTGCAGATCAGTGAGCTAATGGGTGAACAATATTTTTGTCTTGTGGTGGAAATACTGAGCAGTTTACAAGTGCTGGGTTGTTAAAGTGTTCTGGCTGTACTAGTTGCTTTATTCTGCTGTGGAATGGCGGAAGATGTTACATGAGTTGTATGGGTTGCCTGATAGTTGCAGTATTGGCAGATCTTATATCGTTACAGCATAGGAAAAGGTCAGATATTAAAAAAATCTTTAATGTAGTTTGTCAGTGACTATCTAAAGTATGTATAACAGTCACAAACCTTATGTTTTCCATAGACATGTTTGAGGGTAGGTAAGACTTGAAAGATTTTGGAGATTGGTGGAGGCCTAGTGGCAACTGAATGACTACTGTGATGATGATGATTTTTTTATTTGTCTATGTATTTTCATCTATTGCATCCTTAGGTGATGTTACAGCTCAGGTGTCACTTCAGCCTGCACTGAAGTTCAATGGTGGGGGTCATATCAATCACACCATCTTCTGGACAAACCTTTCTCCTAATGGAGGAGGAGAGCCTACAGGTTAGTGCTTGTTACAATGGTTTATTGTATCAGTTTTAATTGAGGAGTAGAACTGATGATCTTTTTGTTCTTTGAAAGACTTTAAAGGATCTTTATTTTTGAGAGTTAATTTGCCTTTCTATGTGACAGTTATCACAATTCTGAGGAATTAAGGGTATTTTGGATGCAAGCCAAGAATATAAAAAGCTAACCCTGTGCTATGTATTTTTGATTTCTAAAGCTGATCATGAGTACACTGAAAAATACTTGGCTGTTGCTGTATATTGTCCTTTCCATCCTCATAAGAGAAAATAGTTGTGCAAAGCTATGTTAATTAAGTTGCCGTATGTACTCAGTTCACAGAAAGGGAAGAAATGTGCTGCAGACCACCCAACCTAGTGGCTGGATTTATGCTCCTGTTTGCATAGGGATAGTTTAGCAGTTAAAGCCCAAAGGAAGAAATCCCCTTTGGGGAGGATAGAGCAGTGATTATCTACAAGTGACCTGCAATTAAAGGTAAAGGCCCTGTAATAGAGATCTCTCAAAAACTGTTGTGATAAACTTGAGGGATTTTGAATCAGGTTTATATGCGTGTCTGTAAATTGGTGGGCTTCAGGTGCTTTGTACTCTGGTTCAGCATTCATAGGTGACATGTGCTTGTGACTTTTGACTCTACTATGGAAGTACAAGATGCTCTGAAGATGATCTAGGTAAGACTAGAGCGTAAAGTTTGAAGCATCAAAGCTGAAATTTCAACAAGCAGTTCTGATACCAGTCTATTTCTGATAGAGCTTGTTTTCAGATTACATTCTCAGAAAAGATGCTTTAAAGCCTTGATTTTTGTCTCCTAATTTGTGAAGTTTCTGTGAAGCCTAGAATGTCACCTTTCAGTTTCAACGGAATGCTTCGAGGCTTTTGTAGGAAGCCTGCTAAAGCCTGTCTTAAGATGCAGTTGCAGCTATCGTCAAGAGATTTTCAAGACCATCTATCTGAAGGTGGAAGGAATGAAGAATTCTTTAGCGTTGCACTGTATGAAGTATTCTTACACATGCTAATTAGAAAGGAGCATAAACGCCTTCAGGTTTTGAGCAAACACTTAAATATCTGAACACCACAAATGTGCTAGGATGTATGGGAAGGGAAGTAGTCTGACAGTGCATTGTTACGCTAAACAATTATAAATTTTGTTCCCTTTGCCCCAGCACAGATTAGCTTAATAATAATAAAGAAGGTATCTAATCACAGAGCTTACTTATCCATATCAAATGGACTACTTAACTGTAGAGGCAGATGTAAATCTAAAATCTGAGGGAAGTGGTTAAATACCTCTTGATATGTGTAGGTTCAGTATACTGATATCAAAGATGTCCAGATATTTCTTAGTACTAAGACAAAGAAATCACAGCCACTTAGTGTTGTCCTTTTAGATATGCAGACTAGCTCCCTACCTTCTTTCCTAGTCCTCTGTGGTGGTCCCTTTTCTTTTAGACAAGAGTGTCAGCTCCTGAATGCCCAGTTGATAGCAGCCTGACTGTGTCTTTGAGGACAGAATGTTTGGCTACTGCACTAGTTTCTTTCCAGTCTGCTTGCCTTCTTAAGCAGGTTGGGACAGAACTGTTAATTAATGATGCAGCTACTCTGTCTAGACGCTTCCTTCCCACAGAGCCCACGGATGCTTCTGCTCCTCTTTCCTTCTATTTCCAGTTGATAGCTGGAAATTGAAAGATGTTAAGTACCTGACCTGTGATCTTTCTGTACTTTTTTTAAAGGAGAATTGATGGAAGCCATCAAGCGTGACTTTGGTTCCTTCGCAAAATTCAAGGAGAAGCTGACAGCCGTATCAGTTGGTGTTCAAGGATCAGGCTGGGGGTGGCTTGGCTATAACAAAGAGCGGGGGCACCTACAAATAGCAGCTTGTGCGAATCAAGACCCTTTGCAAGGAACAACAGGTCAGGTTTCTTCCCCTCTACTTCTCTCTTTGGAGATATCATAGGCAAGTGTATGAGATGTGAAAAGAGGTTTGTGGACAAATACTGAGAAGAAATTTCTGGATAAATAGGACTGGAAAACTGAATGTCCCTACTAGCAGAAATGAAAAACAGTTGCAGTTTTTAAAACAGCTTTTGTAAAGCAGGACTTAAAAACTGAAGAGCAGTGGGATTTATAGTCTGTGTAGTCGAAGGCAAAATCGATGGGGCATATTGTGAAAGCATGCTTTCTTAGACAATAGTTGTAGCTTAGGCTCCTTTGGATTATTTTTGAATAACTGGAGTAGCTTGCCTGTGTGGAGGAAGATTAAGCCTCTTGCCCTCAGATTGTTTTCTCTGGCAGAGGGACTATTCACAGAACTGTCAGCATAGGCCAGACAACAGGAGAGGAGAAGGTGTACAGAGTAACCTACTACGTATGCTATGTTTAAAATGGAAGGCTTGTCTGCTTCCTTAATATTGGTGAAGAGTAATGAGTGTCAATTAAATCAGGCTTGGATGTGGATAAATCTTACAGCTAGGCAAGCAGCGTAATACTTGCTTTTGAATATTTGAAGATATTTTTACTTGCTTAGAGAGACATGGGAAATGGTGATGGCAAGCTGGACACCCTCCACAGAGGGAAGAGGTCATGGCCAACGAGAATCCAGCATGCAGTGGCTGTTTGTCCAAATCCTATTGCAGGTGTCTTTAAAACATGTTCTGTAGAATTCGTAGAGAACAGCAAGGAATTTCATGTATTGTCAGCAGTCTGTGTGTTGATTATTAGCAGGAAGGGGAAAAAAAAAAAAAGAAGAATTTTAGTATAGGGACATACAGCATAATGGGAGTAAATTTC